CTCCAGCTCCAGTCTCTCTTGCGCCAACCTCTCCTGCTCCTCGCGCTCAAGCCGAAGAAGAGCCTGGTGACGCGTTGCGTAGCGGTGGGGAGGCGGAGGAGGTGACGCAGTAGAAGTGTCTCCAGCGCCACTCTCCTCAGAACAGGCACCTCCAGCTCCAGCACCCCCAGAACGAGCACCCCCAGATTAGCACCTCCAGTGCCAGCACCCTCAACTCCAGTATTCTCAGAAACAGCACCGCCAGTGCCAGCACCCGCAGCTCCAACAGCCCCAGAACTGGCACCTCCTGTGCTTGCACCCTCAGCTCCAACACCCCCAGAACTAACACCCCCAGAACTAACACCCCCAGTGTCAATACCCTCAGCTCCAGCACCCTCAGAGCCACCACCTCCAACTCCCGTGTCTCCGGCACCAACACCCCAAGAGTCCACTGCAACCTGTCGCAGTAGTGCCGGCGGCTGCTGCGGTGACTGCGAGGACGGCTGTGGGGAAGGGGATGGTGCCTGATGTGCTACCGAGGGGAGAGGGGTAGCATGGGACACACCAGACGGGCAGGACCAGTGGGGGGCGGGTGTACCAGAGGAGCGGGAGTAGGAGGAGGAGAGGGGGCGAGGAAAAGGGGAGGGGGGGGAACCGGGAGACCTCGACAGGGGTACCGGGTGTAGTAGGACACAGAATTGTCAAAGGTGTCGTCACGAGAGTCAAGAAACCGGCGGAGGGGCGGGTGGTAAAAGGTGTAGTCAGAGGAGCCCACCGGGATAACAAGGAAGACACAGGGGAGGGCGCGAGCCGAGAGTTTGTTCGCCGAGGTGTCGCGGACAAGCGCAAGGCAGCCCCAGACACGAAACTCTGACGCAACACCAGGGGACCCGGTCCAAAGACTGGTCGGTGAAGCCTCTGGCCGTGAGACACGGGGCAAGAGGTTCAGCTGGTGGGCGGTGTAGCGAACCGCGTAGGGCCACAGAAAATGGGGCGCACGGGCATGGATCATGGAGGTGCAGGCGGTCTCCATGACCAAGCCTATGCGGCGCTTAGCAACCCCATTCTGCTGTGGGGACTCTGGAATCGTCTAGGACTGGGTGATGCCCTGCTGGCTACAGAATCCGGCAAGAATGATGGAGCGAAACTCACCCCCACGGCCGGAGTGAAGACAACTGACACGACGGTCACGAGTGGTCTCAGTGGCCAGCAACCACCGGATCAGCGTAGAAGTCACGTCGGAATTCTTTGCTAGGGGGAACACGTTGGAATGCGGGAGTAGTCGTCAACGACCACCAGAAAGAAGCTCTCCCTCTCGGGCCCAGGGCAAGGGGCGGGGCCCCATACGTCCAAGTGGAGCGCCTGGAAGGGTGCGGTGGCCGGTCGAAGGGAGGAGTGAGGAGTGGCGCACAGCCGACCCTCGACGCAAGGAGTAAACGACGGCGCAGGCGAAGGAGGGAGCGACGCAAAGACGCGCGGGAGACCTAAGACAAGACGCTGGCTAGCCATGCTGTATAGGCGTGGGAGGGACGGGTGACCAAGACAATGGTGCCACAGGACTGTCGAAGGGAGAGGGACCTACAGGAGCACGACGCAGCTACCTGACCAGTCGCAGCTACCTTGGGGTACGCAGTGTGCAAAACGTAGAGACCTGAGCCGGGCTCCCTGGTGAACGTGGCAAGAAGCGCCCCGGTGGAAGCGACCGTACAGACCGCAGTCCTCCCGTGCCCAAGAAAGGTGACTATGATCCCACGATCCTGAAGGTATCCAACACCCACCAAGTTCCGAAATAACGAGGAGATGTGGAGACCAGAGAGGACACCAGAGGGGACAGCCGGACACTGAAGGGTGGTAGAGCTGCGTGCAACGACTGGTCTTGAAGTAGGATCAGCCAGTGCAACCGGAACCGGAGCAGAAAGTGGAGTAAGAGACGCGCCAGAGTCCAGCGTGAAAGAGAGCGACGCCTCGGCCGTAGGTGCACCTGGGCTAGTAACTACACAAGCACTTAGACTAGAAGCACAAGCACCTACACTAGTAACTACACAAGCACAAGCACTTAAACTAAGAACATGCGAGCAAACGGATCCAGCAGCACTAGAGTTCACATTGGCATACATAACAGAAACAGAGTCTAAAGCCTCAACTAACTCTAACGCAGACAGGTCCCACAAAGCAAGTCCACGAGAGGGAGCAAGCGGGGCCCAGTCCGGAGCGGGGCCAAGGCCGTACTGTGCCCGGACGCGGTCCATGAGCTGCGCATAGCACTGACCCGGAGCGTGGAAGCGGCCACAGCGCTGACCCACACGACCGCCCGTCTGAAGCACGTACGGGCAGGGAGGCGGAGTGACACCACGCGACGCCGAGCTGGGTGGACCACCGCCACGACTAGCGCTCCCTAGTCTACCAGGTGCCCACTGCTGAGGCTGCTACTGCACCTGCCGCTGAACCTGCTGCTGCGGCTGTCCCTGCTGCTGCGGCTGTCCCTGCTGTGGCTGCTGCTGCTGGGACTGCTGCCGCCGCTGTGCTGTGTACCACGCGGCTGCACCGGCACCCCCTCCCGTCGGGCCCGCAGGCCCAGGTCCGCCTCATGTGTCGCCTCCACCAGACGCACTAGTGTCGCTAGGGCCTCCGCCACCAACGCCACCGCCTCCAGCGCCACCACCCTTCCCCCCTTTCTTACCTCCCCTACCCCTTTACCGCCCACCCGCGGTGGACATGGCTACAGTCTCGTCAGTAGCAGGAGACGCAGTAGAGGCAAAAGAAGCAGTGAATATGGGAATCTGTGGGACAGTGCACCCCTGAAAGAGTGGGAGAACTACGGCGCCAGAGGCAGAGGCAACGGAGCGGATGTTGCTCTCGATGTCCAGGAGAGCTGTCTCAGGTACATCGATAGTGAGCGCACTAGGGTGCTTCTGAAGAAGCGCGTCACGAACGGGTGCAAGGCGGTCAGGGAGGCTAGTAACGATGAAGTGAATAGTGATCGGCATGGGCGGGGGGAGCAGTGCAAGCTCAGCCTCAGTACAAGCAGCACGGTAGCTGACGTCTAGGGAGCGCAGGTGGGTGATAAGATCAGCAGTGCAGTCAAACGCTCCTAGGTCGGGAAACAGAAACGGCAGTAAGAGGCGACCAAGAGAGGTGGAGGTGGGAGTGGAATAACGTGTCTTAATTGCAGCGAGCAGGTCCTTGGCAAATCGAACTTGTGAGAAGTGAGCCTCCTCAGTCTCGGGGAGAAGGCTGGCAAGCGCAATGCAAGCCGCAGCGTCACGCGACTGCCACACCGAACGAGTTGTATGGGCCTTGTCGAAGCGCGCCTGGGCCGCCTCATCAGGCTCTGCACCCAGTGCAACGGGGGGGGGAGGCTCAGGCAGGTCACCGGAGGCGTGCGCCCAGGGTGTATCATTGTCATGGCGCTGGCTCGTGAGAAACCGCTCAGCACGGATGAGCCAGGAGGGGAACTCTAGGGCTCTACCCTCAGCATCAAAGCGCAGTACGCGAGGGGCGGCCATAACGAGGGAACTACCAGCATAGAAGCGCAGGGCTAGAAGTGGCCGGAGCTAGAAACGAGTGAGGGCGTATGGCGCCCAAAGAGACGAGGCAAGGAACGGCCTGAGCTAGGAGCGACCTACGCCAGAGTGGCAAGGCTAGAAAGCGCCGAAACGAGGAACGAGCGAGGCCTGAGTGCCAATCGAGAAACGAGCGAGGCGAGGGACGAACGAGGCCAGAGGGGCGAGGCTAGGAACACTACTCAGAACACGGAGCCGAACCTAAGTGTACTACGGCTGCCAGCCGCTGCGGGTGGAACGTCAGTGCAATAGGCGTTGGAAGGTGCTGCACGTGCGGTTAGGTGCAGTTGGGTGCGGTCTAGCGTGGTGGGGAGCGGCCAGGTATGGTATAATGCGGTGGGGAGCGGTCGGGAGCGGTGCGCGGTGGTCTAGTGCGGTGGGGAACGGGGTGGCATGTCAAGGAGCACAGGCAGCAGTGCGTAGCGAAGGCACGAGTAGCTGTTGCTGCTGCTGCGCGGCTCCTAGTGCACTAGCAGCTGCTCGTGCGCGAGCAGCTGCTGTTGCGCGAGCGGCTGTTGCTGCGGGCAGCTGCTATTGTGGGCGGCTGCTGCAGTTGGCGGCTGCTGGGCTGGCGGCTGCTGCACGTGCGCGGCTGCAGGCACGCAGCTGTGCGTGCAGTTGCTGCTGCTGCACGTGGCTCCTAGTGCGTATGTAGCTGCGTGCGCGGGCGGCAGGGCAGGGCACAGCACGGGACGGGGCGGGGCGCGGGTAGCTGTTACGCGTGCGACAACTGCTGCACGTGATGCAGAGGCCACTCGTGCAGTTGCTGCAGCTGCGAGCGCAAGTAGCTGCTGTGCGCGCGGCTGCTGCAGGGCGCGCTGCAAATGCTGCACGTGCGTGCTGCTGATCGCACGCGGCTGTGCGTGCGCACGTGTGCGGCTTCGAGCTGGCAGCTGCGCGAGCGGGGCGGAGTGCGTGCGCTAGCTACCGCGCGGCTGCTAGCTGCGTGCGGGGCAGCGCGCGCGCTCGGGACGGGACGGGACGGGACGGGACGGGACTGGTTGGGGCGATCTGCGGGGCGCTACGGGACGAGAGGGTCTGTGGGGCACTACGGGACGGGACGGGGCGCGTGATAGGCTAGGAACAGGTTAGGAACCGTCCTACTGATGATAGCATCTTAGAAACTAACTTAGGTCAACGGATGAGATTAGGTCAAGGGGGGGGGGATACAAAGTGTCGAGAGACCCTAACATGCAACTCACTATAGCATATCTATTGCTACAAACATAGTTTGACAATAATCCCGCCTTTTGTATAATCAACATATTCTGAGCTCGTTGTATGGCTTGGCATGCCACCCTGATGCCAAGTTCGCCCTCGTCGTGCTACTGCCATACAATCTTGCCATTTGCAGTGTATCCTACATACTGCTTCCTATCAACAAGCAGGACACCTAATAGCAAGTCGTCTACTTCCTTCCTATCACAATATTTCATTCTCAAAACATACGGCAACACTTCACATCAGTGTGGTGTAGCTACGAGCGTCTCGAATGGGCGGAGGCGCAGCCCTCATGCCGGAGAACGAAACGACCGACCGCTTGATCACCTTGAGCTCTGGCACCCCCCCGCCCCTGTCACCGTCCCCATTGCCCTTAATGCTGTTGCTGTGAAGCCACGAAAACGGCGAGTCGGAGACGAAGGTGGAGGGAGTGGTGGCGGAGGTAGAGGCTGCAGTGGGGCTGGTGGGCTGGCTTGCTGCCTCCTTGAGCTCTTCTAGTACCGTCTGGCACTTGTGCTGATACCACCAGTCCTCCTCCACTAGCCTGGACGTGGAAAGGAGGGAGCGGGGGGGGAGTAGGGGAAGAGGTAAGATTGGGAGAAGAGACATGGATATGTCAGGAGCACCATCGGCTTGAGCTCTTCAAGCACTGTCTGGCACTTGTGCTGATACCACCAGTCCTTCTGAAGTAGAGTGGTGGAAGGGTAGGACTAAGGAGCAAGGGAGGGAAGAGTTGGAGGAAGGTTGTAGAGACGTCAGGTGCAGGATTGAATTAAGTACTTCCAGCACTGTCTGGAACTCGAGCTGGTACCACCACATTCCCATCTTTCTTTCACCACCTTCGGCCCTTGCTCACCTCTTGGGGTCCTCGCCTGTGCATGCACTGTAAGCCACGACCACCCCCTTGGCTGCATCTTCTGCAAACCCCCGGATAAGGGGAGAGGAGCAGCAAACAAATTCCCTTCCTGCCAGCTCACCGCATTCATCCACTCTCGACCCTTCTCAACTTTCGGGGTCCTCCCCCGTGCGTGCACTGTAAGCCACAATCGCTCGCGTGGCTGCATCTTCTGCCAACCCCCGGATGAGGGGAGAGGAGCAGCAACCACATCCCCTTCCAACCAGCCCACCGCACTCAACCGCTCTTGGCCCTTCCTCCTCACCTCTTGGGGTCCTCCCCTGTGCGTGCACTGTAAGCCACAATCGCCCGTGTGGCTGCATCTTCTGCCAACCCCCGGATGAGGGGAGAGGAGCAGCAACCACATCCCCTTCCAACCAGCCCACCGCACTCAACCGCTCTTGGCCCTTCCTCCTCACCTCTTGGGGTCCTCCCCTGTGCGTGCACTGTAAGCCACAATCGCCCGTGTGGCTGCATCTTCTGCCAACCCCCGGATGAGTGGAGAGGAGGTCTTGCCACTGTGCGCTGCTTGCACCACAAAGTACATGTCAAACACGAGCTGCGGAGGGAGGGGGGGGGGGGAGTAAAGGATGGCCGGAAGGGAGAGGAGGGGGGGGGGGGAGAGGGAGAAAGAGAGGAAACAGGGCAAATGTTGACTCACAAATGGTCTTCCCCCTGTGAGCAGTTTGCACTACAAAGTACCTGTCAAACACGAGCTGGGAAAAAGGGGGGGAGGGAGGAAGGGGGGAGCGAGCGGGGGGAGTAGGATGGTAGGATGGCCATAACTGGTTTGGGTCATACCTGGCCCGGGCCATACCAGGTACCTTCTGGTCCGGACCGTACAAGGTTTGGGCCATACCTGATGCAGGCCATACCTGGTGCAGGCCATACCTGGTCCGGGCCATACCTGGTGCAGGCCGATGGGGCCAAGGGGTGGGTCCGCAGCCTGAATGTCTTCCCACATTGTACTCTCTATAAGCAGACCCGATAGCAGCCACTCCATGACTCGTCTCAGCAGCCTCCTGTGCATGCCTTCTTGGCCCCTTAGCACGCGCTCTAGGCTTGATTGCACGGCATTCACTGTGAGGAATAAAGCCTGGAATGGGGGGGGGGGCGGACATGGGAGAGAACGGGAGAGGATGGGTGCAGGGGAGGAGGGGGGAAGAGAGATGAGCAGCTTTAGTACGTGACTTTCTGTGACCTTAGAACCCGCTCTAGGCTTGATGCCACTCTGTTAACTGTGAGGAATAGCGCCTGGAGGTGGAAAAGGAGAATTCAGAAAGAATGGGAGATACCGGAGAGTAAAGGAGGGGACGAGGGAAGGGAAAGAGAGATGAGCAGCATTCAGTGTTTTGGTTCCGTACCCCCTTAGAACCCGCTCTAGGCTGGCACGCCGTTCACTGTGAAGAATAGTGCCTGCAAGGGAGGAGGGATGATGGGAGAAGCAGGAACAGGGAGAAGAGGTGAGCACTTAGGGTTAGCTTCTTTGACGAACGCAATGCAAAAGGTTACCACATAGAAGCACACACACACGCACACACACCTGGAAGGGCGGCGATGGCAGGGGGTGCATCATCCACTGCTGCAGCTTGGTGCATGCATCCATGCCCAGGTACTCGTCTGCACACAGCACGCGCTCCCCACTCTCGCTGAACACAAACCCGCCCCACAGCGACGCACAGAAGATCTCCCGAATTCGACGCGAGGATCTCTGAATGCGCGCCCTCCACATCTTCTGCTTTGCTAGGTTGCTGCAGGCAGGGGGGAGTGGACATAGGTGCAACGGGGTGCAGAGGGGTGGTGAGTAGGTGGGGCAGGGAAAGGAGGAGTAGGTTTCACCAAAAGAGGATCCTCTTGGTGAGTAGGTTTCAAATCTGCCGCGCTGCTCTCCGAATCCGCCCCCGCCCCCTCCATACCTTCTGTATCCGCTACTGGCAGAGTGGAGTGGGGAACAGTGGAAAGGGGTGCAGAGGGGTGGTGAGCAGGCGGGGCAGGGAGGGGAGGACTACACTTCAGCAAAGGAGGATCTCCCGAATTGCTGCATGCGAGCAGCTGGGGGGACGAGGGAGAGGTGGGAGAATGGGCTGGACAGGGAGGGGTGGAGTCAGGTTTTGAACATGCCAGGCTTTTGGACAGAGAGGGTGGGATGTTGTGGGAAAATTCAGAGAAACGCAGGTCCTAGATTAAATATCTATAGATCATCCAATAGCGGGCACTAATTGCATTGCAAAGAAACCGCCCTCCCCCCAGCACACAACAAATTTCGTGTTAACAACATCCTGTCTCACACCACCCCATGACACCATCCCACACCACCCCATGACACCATCCCACACCACCCCATGACACCATCCCACACCACCCCATGACACCATCCCACACCACCCCATGACACCATCCCACACCACCCCATGACACCATCCCACACCACCCCATGACACCATCCCACACCACCCCATGACACCATCCCACACCACCCCATGACACCATCCCACACCACCCCATGACACCATCCCACACCACCCCATGACACCATCCCACACCACCCCATGACACCATCCCACACCACCCCATGACACCATCCCACACCACCCCATGACACCATCCCACACCACCCCATGACACCATCCCACACCACCCCATGACACCATCCCACACCACCCCATGACACCATCGCACACCACCCCATGACACCATCCCACACCACCCCATGACACCATCCCACACCACCCCATGACACCATCCCACACCACCCCATGACACCATCGCACACCACCCCATGACACCATCCCACACCACCCCATGACACCATCCCACACCACCCCATGACACCATCCCACACCACCCCATGACACCATCCCACACCACCCCATGACACCATCCCACACCACCCCATGACACCATCGCACACCACCCCATGACACCATCCCACACCACCCCATGACACCATCCCACACCACCCCATGACACCATCCCACACCACCCCATGACACCATCCCACACCACCCCATGACACCATCCCACACCACCCCATGACACCATCCCACACCACCCCATGACACCATCCCACACCACCCCATGACACCATCCCACACCACCCCATGACACCATCCCACACCACCCCATGACACCATCCCACACCACCCCATGACACCATCCCACACCACCCCATGACACCATCCCACACCACCCCATGACACCATCCCACACCACCCCATGACACCATCCCACACCACCCCATGACACCATCCCACACCACCCCATGACACCATCCCACACCACCCCATGACACCATCCCACACCACCCCATGACACCATCCCACACCACCCCATGACACCATCCCACACCACCCCATGACACCATCCCACACCACCCCATGACACCATCCCACACCACCCCATGACACCATCCCACACCACCCCATGACACCATCCCACACCACCCCATGACACCATCCCACACCACCCCATGACACCATCCCACACCACCCCATGACACCATCCCACACCACCCCATGACACCATCCCACACCACCCCATGACACCATCCCACACCACCCCATGACACCATCCCACACCACCCCATGACACCATCCCACACCACCCCATGACACCATCCCACACCACCCCATGACACCATCCCACACCACCCCATGACACCATCCCACACCACCCCATGACACCATCCCACACCACCCCATGACACCATCCCACACCACCCCATGACACCATCCCACACCACCCCATGACACCATCCCACACCACCCCATGACACCATCGCACACCACCCCATGACACCATCCCACACCACCCCATGACACCATCCCACACCACCCCATGACACCATCCCACACCACCCCATGACACCATCCCACACCACCCCATGACACCATCCCACACCACCCCATGACACCATCCCACACCACCCCATGACACCATCCCACACCACCCCATGACACCATCCCACACCACCCCATGACACCATCCCACACCACCCCATGACACCATCCCACACCACCCCATGACACCATCCCACACCACCCCATGACACCATCCCACACCACCCCATGACACCATCCCACACCACCCCATGACACCATCCCACACCACCCCATGACACCATCCCACACCACCCCATGACACCATCCCACACCACCCCATGACACCATCCCACACCACCCCATGACACCATCCCACACCACCCCATGACACCATCCCACACCACCCCATGACACCATCCCACACCACCCCATGACACCATCCCACACCACCCCATGACACCATCCCACACCACCCCATGACACCATCCCACACCACCCCATGACACCATCCCACACCACCCCATGACACCATCCCACACCACCCCATGACACCATCCCACACCACCCCATGACACCATCCCACACCACCCCATGACACCATCCCACACCACCCCATGACACCATCCCACACCACCCCATGACACCATCCCACACCACCCCATGACACCATCCCACACCACCCCATGACACCATCCCACACCACCCCATGACACCATCCCACACCACCCCATGACACCATCCCACACCACCCCATGACACCATCCCACACCACCCCATGACACCATCCCACACCACCCCATGACACCATCCCACACCACCCCATGACACCATCCCACACCACCCCATGACACCATCCCACACCACCCCATGTCACCATCCCACACCACCCCATGACACCATCCCACACCACCCCATGACACCATCCCACACCACCCCATGACACCATCCCACACCACCCCATGACACCATCCCACACCACCCCATGACACCATCCCACACCACCCCATGACACCATCCCACACCACCCCATGACACCATCCCACACCACCCCATGACACCATCCCACACCACCCCATGACACCATCCCACACCACCCCATCATGCACGTACTATTGTTGCCTCTCATGCCATGTGGATCGTGCCTTGTTCCTCTTCCCACCTTTCCTCCGCCCCTCCCCCTTCGCCATGCCCCCATCCCTCCCCTCCTCCTCACCCTCCCCCTCCTTCCCCCCATCGTCCCCCACCCCGCCCCCGTCCTCTTCCCCACCGCCCTCCTCACTCTCCTCCTCCTCCTCATCCCCCAAACACCCCAGCCCCTCCTCATCCTCTATATCCGCTATAGTCAGCCTCACTACCAGTCTAGGAAGCAGCTCATCGGCTAAAGCAGCCACATTTCCCAGCACAGCCAGCTGCTGCGCCTCTGTCTCTGCCTCCTGCACGTGGTATACATGCCAGCTGTTTGCTGGAGGGTCTAGAAGCGGGTTACTGTGGTCAATTGTGTCGTCCTCTTCATCACCAGCAGCAAGAGCAGCAGCAGCTAAAGCCCCAGCAGCAGCAGCAGCAGCAGCGCTAGCACCGTCGCCATTTGACAGTCTCTGCTGGCTGGCGCTCCTTGAAATGGATACCTCTTCCCACTCCTCCTCCTCCTCCCGCTCTGCCTCCCCCTTCCCCTCCCCTGCCTTCCTTCCTCTATGCCCCCCCCCTTCCTTCCCTCTCTCCTCCCGTGCCGCCCCTCCCTCTTCCCCTCCCACCACATCCCCTTCCATTCCGTCTGACACAGTCACACCCTCCCCACTCCCCCTCCCACTCACCCCTCCAACTTGCCCTCTCACTCCCACTCCTCTCCCCGCCCCATCCTCTCCCCCTGCCATCCCACTTCCAACCATCTTCTGCTCCCTTTCTCTCCTCCTCCTCTGTGCCCGAGCACCAACAGAGCCAGGTGCCGGGGGAAGGGTGGCGTCAGGTGGAATCTCAGGTAGCGCCAGCTCCATGAGGCTCGCGAAACACTCGAACTGCGTTGCAATGGCGTCGAGAACCCTATCCAGTAAATGGAGGCTGATTACAGGGAGTATGCCCTCCACCAGGTCCTGGGGAGAGGGAGCGAGAGAGAGGGGAGTAAAACAGGGGAACGGGGAAAAGGGGGAAAAAATAAAAGACACATCACACTCGCTGTTGGCCTCAACCTGAGCCCGCCCAGTCCCAACACTCACCAGGTGATTCTCACTCACCCCCATGTGCCCTCTAGCAGCAACAGGCACCCCACCACCACCACCACCACCACCAGCAGCAGCACACCAAACCACCACTACCAGCAGCACTCGCCACGAGCAGCACTCACCACGAGCAGCAGGTAGAACCGCTGAGCACTCGGCGTGAGCCTAATCCTCAGCCCGCCCAGCCCCAGCACGCCCCCCCACCCCCTCAACCGCATCAACGCCGGTGCACCCAAGTCAACCGCTTCCAACCGCCACTCATCGGTCGTAGCCACTGACACCACCGCATCTTCAATCCTCAGGATATTAAACTCCAACGCCTCCATCACACTCGGGCGCATGAGCTCGCCTAGCATGGGCACGAGGCAGATCCCCTGGGGTTCGAGTAAGCGTGCGTGGCCGAGGGAGATGCAGACGCACTCAGAGGCGGCGTGGAGGCCGCCCGGGGAGGCGGCGGAGCAGAGGATGTTGCGGCGGAGGAGGGAGAAGGCGAAGGTGACCTCGCGGCGGGCCCATAGGAGGAGATCCGCGGAGCAGGCTGGTTGGTCAGCGAATATTATGGCTGAATCGGCTGTGGCCTGGGCTATGGCGGAAAAGACAATCTGGAAAAGGGGAGGGGGAAAGGGGGGAGGGGGGAGGGCAGAAAAGGGGAGCAGGAGAGACATTATTATGGCTGAATCTGCCGCCTGGGCTATGGAGGAAAAGACTATCTGTGAAGGGGGAGGGGGGGATGGGAGGGAAGGGGGAGGCGTGCGTGCACGGAAGTTGAAGGGGACGAGAGGAGAAAGGGGAGTGCGTGAGCAGGCTGGCTGCACACCTCGCTCCCAGGATTGCTTCAGACACCCAACTCCCATCTCCCCCCCACACCCACACACACCCAAACACGCACCTGAGACAGCGCAGCAGTGTACGACCCGCCAAACCCAGTGGACGAGCGATGCAGCGACCGAGCGCTCCTCCTGATCCGCTCCCCATACGCGCCCAGCAGCAGCTGATGCGCCAGCTCCAGCTCCCCCAGCCGCATCAACCCGGTAACCGCAAACCGCAGCTCCTCCCCCAGCACGTCCGAGTGCTTTGCTGTGCGCTCCAGCTCAGCAACTAGCACCACGTGGCGCTCTGCTATTGCTGCTGACAGGGCCAGCGCTGCCGGCTCGCTCAGAAGCTCCGTTGCCGGAGCGCCGCTGGCCGGAGGTTCAGTAGCAAGGATATTATCGCCGCCCGGAACGAGTTCACTGCCGCCCGAAACGACAGCAGTACTGTCAGTATTTTTATTATCATCACCTGTGGCTTCAGCCGTGCCCTGAGTGTCCCCTTTCTGGTGCTCTCCTTCTTGGCTGGATACTTTCTGAGGGGGGTTTCCGCCCTTTACACTCTGCTGGTTATTGTTAGAAATGATCCTCTTATTCAAGACTTCAGCCCTTTCTTTCCTCCCCTCTGCTCCTTCCCCTCCCCTTCCCTCTGCTGCCGCCTCAACAGCTCTAGCAGCAGCAGCTGCTGCAGACGCTTTTGCAGCGTTCCGCCTCCTGCCCTGAAAGCTACCCCCCTGCCGTGAGCTCTCCTCCACATCCCCATTCCCTAACCTCTCGCCCGCCAACCCTGCATTCCCCACGTTCTCCTCCACACTCCTTGCTCGAGGCCCCGTCTTCAAGCCCCCTTTCAAGCCCTCTTTCAGGCTCTCTTTTAAGCTGCCTCTCAAGCCGCCGCCTCCTACCGGCACACCATCCACACTGCTCCCCTTCCCCATACCTTCATACACATAACCCCACTCCTCTCTACGCGTTCCCCCAGTAAGAGACCTCTTTGTGAGAGGCATCTCATCCCAACCCTGCTCTGACCGTGCTCTCCGTTGCTCGCCATGCTCCCCCTCCTCCTTTTCCTCCTCTTCCGCCTCCTCCCCCTCCTCTTCCGCTTCCCCTCCCCCGTCCTCCTCTCTCAACCACCTTTCCACCCGCCCTTCTTCCCTCTCCTCCCCACCACCCTTTCCATCCCACACCTTTCCTCTCTCCTCACCCTCCTCCCCTCCCTCCCCTTCTCCACCACCCTCTCCCGCTTCCCCTTCAGCAAACTCCCCCTCCTTGTTCCTCCTCCTCTCATGTGACTGTAACGAGAGTTGTGCCATCTGCTGCCCCTGCTCCAGCAACTCAATCGCCTGGTCAATCTTCTGCTCCGTTATAAGCCCATCCAGTACATCAGGCAACGCCTCCGCATACCTCTCCATCTCCGTCGGCTCCCTCTCCTCCTCATCCCACCCCTCCTCCATCCCATCCTCCTCCTCTTCCTCCTCCTCCCCCTCCCCATCCCTCCCTCTCGTCCTCCTCCTTCTCAACCTCACCTCCCCCCCCTCCCCATCCTTCACCATAATCACACTCCCAGTGCTCCCTACCGCCCACACCTGACCACTCTCCCTCGCCCCGGCCCCATGCCAACCCGCATGCGGGGTTCCAGGGGGAGAGGAGTGCACAGAATGGTCTGGCGTATGGGTAGAGTCGGACCCATCATCGTGAATCCCCCCCCCTTCAGACCTGCGGCGGCTGTGATGCGGCGAGGAGTGGGCGAAGAGCGAGAGTGCGATGGTGCGGCTCTGGCAGCTTCCTTTCTCTGCGAGCGAGTGGATGAGCGCCGTGTTGAGCGTCAGCATCTCCCGCATGCGCTTCAGCTGCACCTGGAAGGCGGAGATCTGCTTCGATGTGCTGGTCGGGGGAGGGAACAGGGGGGAGGGGGGGTGGGGGGTGGGGAAGGAGAAGGGGGGAAAAAAGGAGTGGGTAGCGCCGTGTTGAGCGTGAGCATTTCTCGCATGCGCTTCAACTGCACCTGAAAGGCCGAAATCTGCTTCGATATGCTGGTCAAGGGTGGGGGGGAGGGAAGGGGAACGGGGGAGGAGTGACAGGGGGGAAGGATGGGGTTGGTGTTCAAGGAGCAGGGATACGGAGGGAGGGGGGAGGGAGGGAGGGGGAGCGCGGAGATGGAGAGGGGAAGGGGAGTGCGGAAGGAGAATGGGGGACTCTTGCACTGACCGTATGAAGGTGGGGTAGTTGGCATACACGCTCCGCCGCATCTCCTCTGCCGACACCCGCCTGAACTCGTATGCAGGGATACCTGACATACAAGCTCCGCGTTTGGAGCCGTGACCAGCCCAGGTGAAAGGAGTGACTAGGCCATGTGGATGCGGAGAGGAGAGCAGCGACTGACTGACCGTATGAAGGCGGGGTAGTTGGCATACACGCTCCGCCGCATCTCCTCTGCCGACACTCGCCTGAATTCCATCAGCTCCTGTGCCAGCCGCCGCACCTCCTGTGAGGGGCGAGGGGGCAAAGGAGATGAGCGGAGCAGGGGGGATGAGGGGAGCGAGGGGAATGAGTGGAGCGAGGGGAATGAGTGGAGCGAGGGGAATGATGGGAGCGAGGGGAATGAGTGGAGCGAGGGGATTGAGTGGAGCGAGGGGAATGAGGGGAGCGAGGGGAACAGTGGGGAGCAAGGGGAATGAGGGGAGCAAGGGGAATGAGGGGGGCAAGGGGAATGAGAGGGGAGCAAGGGGATCGCGGGGGTTGAAAGTCGCCTCATGTCTCGCCTGATCTCCATCAGCTCTGCTGCCAGCCGCCGCACCTCCTGTGGGGGGCGAGGGGGCAAAGGAGATGAGCGGAGCAAGGGGAACAGTGGGGTGGAAACAAGGGGAGTCCGGACGGACAGCTTTCGAGGCGCCTCGAGAGTCGTCTTATGTCTCGCATAAACTCCATAGCTGCTGTGCTAGCCGCCGCAACTATTGTGGGGGCCGAGGGGAACGAGTGAGGGGAGCAAGGGGAACAATGGTAAGTGAGAAGGGACAGCTTTTGAGGCGCCTCAAAAGTCGTCTCGTGTCTCGCCTGAACCCCATCAGCTCTGCTGCCAGCCGCCGCACCTCCTGTGAGGGTTGAGGGAAAGTAGGGGAGCAAGGGGAACAATGGGGTGCAAACAATGGGGACATCATCGTCCCAATGTCTCCCCCATTCGTCTCAATGCCCCGCTCATGGTCGCTCATAATCCCTCAGAATCCCTCAGAATCCCTCAAAATCCCTCAAAATCCGTAGCACCTCTTCGCCCCATGAGACTCACCCATTCGTCGTTCTCCTCCATCTGCTCCTCCGCGTACGCCTCCGCATCGAACCGATCCTGTGAGAAGTTCATCGCGACAAATTGTTCTCCGCCACGAATTTGCGGAACTCCCCGTCACGAAGTTCGAGACTTTCGCCACCCAATCGGAAGGCTGTGTACTCGTCCCACTTTCGCCGCAGCGAATTTCTCCACAAACGAGAACTAATTTCTTTCAATATTGTTCGACTTAAAGTCTTGCAGTCGTTTCCGCCTTCGATTCCGCTTGAACCCCCTCGTCGGGCCTTCCTCTTCCTTCACCTCCTTGTTTTTCGCTCGCTTCCCACTCCCTCCCGGCTTTTTCGCCTGCGCGCGCGAACTCGCCACGAAGGTTACTCCAATTGTGCGAATGACGTTTTCGGTAACCGTGAGAACTGGCACCGTAAGGTAACATGTATCGTAGGCTACTGTAACACAATAGACGCTACAGTAACATAGTAGCAATGCAGTCTATGATAGGCTATCGCGGAAGTCAAATCGAGGCCAATAAGTATCGCGGGATTACTATTAAATACGTACATGGGAGCGTAACTATCGTAACTATCGTACGTTATACGTGTCCAGACAGATACACGTTGGAACACCTACTCGGGCATCTAAACGCATTTTATCTTCGCATTGCTTGCTCCTTGCACCGTCGACTGGCTTCACAGTCGCATTATTGCGTTGCGACAGTCACAACAGTGCAGCTGCTGGCTCTATTAGTCTGAGTTTCCCAAGAGAAAACGGATCATCTTCTGACGATTGGTTGGTCGAGGAGTTGGTCCTACCACTCCCCGTCAACCCTCTAACACGACATCTCTATTACAAGCCAGACAAGAGCATGCGTCCCTGAACTACAGAAGCGAATAGATACACATGGTCCCGCTAATCTACATACACCTTATTTTCACACCTGTGGGCAACTACTCCTAGTTTGCCTGAAAACCGAAGGCTGTTTGGGATTATTCTAGTTCTAGAAAGGGTTGTTTCAGACTCCTTTCAGCGTAGAGGAACACAAAGAGGCCGCAACGAAGGATCTGGTCCATGCGCTGTGACCACGAAGTGGGAGTTTAGCAACATCGACACTTGACAGTATAATCATAGCTTCTGGTTTATGGGTGTCTTAAAGCTGTGGTCTACATACTAAGTGGTGTTTTTTGGGTGTATTTTTTATGCCCACCCTTTCGTGCGTTTTGATTGGAGAACGAAGTCAACAGTTTCAGAAACGCCGCAGCAGACGAACTCAGACAGGAATGCGAATCCAGCCCAATTTCGTGCTGACGCGTAGTTTGGGGGAGGGTCTGCGGAAGGGCGGGAAACAACCTGGGGAGTTCTGTTTCAGGCGGAAAGAACCCCAACCCCCTCCCTCCACCCCTCTAAACCGTTAGCTTTGCAGGAAAGGTGGCCGAGTTCAAAAACTGGTCACCCTGTTTTCAAGTGATAATCTGAGGCCTCCCGCTCTAGGTATGTAGACCGCAGCTTTAACTAAGGTGTCTCATTATGAGAGTCTCAAAATTTCAGCAGGGGACTAGGTGAACTCGCTCAGCGAAGCTTGGCACAAATTACATGAGAGAACGGCTGACGGGGGTATGGGGGGCAGGAGAAAGGAAGTACGAAAGCTAGCATCTGGTCAGCACTGCAGTGAGTGAATGCAAGCATAGCCGCAGAACAGTAAAAATGCATGTTTTCAGCTGCATGTACTATATGCTGCTCTATCTCTCAACGGAATCTAGGGTGACGCTCCGTTTTGCCTGGGATGACGCTTTGGGGTGACGCTTTCGGGAGCGTCACCCTGACACGGGCAGAAAAAAACTAAAACCCTATCGGAATGGCATGCCACGTTTGTCGGCCTCAACCCTAAACACTATGCGGCAAGGATTTTAGGGTTGAGGCCGACAAACATGGCATGCCATTCCGATAGGGTTTTAGTTTTTTTTTTCCTGCAGGCAGTGCGGAGAATCACTCTACAACGGTAGTGAGCTAGACTACGGGGGTTGGCACGAACTACTAGGAGTGATCGTAGCTTTGCCTAGTTCCTTAGTGCTTGCACAATCACGGGAGAAATCGGCAAGAGTTTCCACTAGCTCGAAATTACAAAATAGTTGAACAAGCAATGACAGAATTGACTACATCAGGCACCTAGCAACCCTGCAGCTAGCCTGGTCGACCGCCAGCACAGCTTGGTCGACCGCCTGCCAGCGTTGCGTAGAGGAGCCGCGCCAGCACTGCAGAAGGGCGACCTGCCAACACTGCAGGTCAACGGCATGCCAACGCTGCAGCAAAGCGGCTGTCCAGCGTTGCCCCGTAGAAGACAGCAGTGCGCACGCTCGCAGGTGCGCGCAAACGATTGGCCCGACTTGCACCGTTGTGCATCCGTCGGCTGTTGTCTGCGCCTGACGAGCCACATCGACTTCGGGATACCAGCCCGAAGTCGCCTTCGCCATCGCGACCTCGACGACGTTCGCGTGCCTCCGCAGAACTCGTCGAACAGGTTACCCGGTCGACCTGGTCGACCACCAAGTGCTCCGGTCGACCACCAGTGCTTCTGGTCGACCACTGGGTCCCTCTGGTCGACCAACAGGTCCCTCTGGTCGACCACAGCTCCCGTCGAGCTACCCCCTGGTCGACGGACCCCTTCCGTCGACCAGAACTGTCAGCTGTTGTCGCCGAGCTCCCCTCGTCGACCGCTGCTCACTTGTCAGGTCGACGGACTGCTCCGTCGACCTCCCGGTCGAACTGCCCCTCCTGGTCGACGGCCCACCCGTCGCCCAGACTAGTCAGTTGCAGCTGTCGAGCTCCCTGGTCGGCAGCAACACCACAGCGGTCCCCTAAAGCTCGACCAAGCCTGTCGAGCAGCTGTTACGATAAGAATGAATTGATAGAAAATGTGAAGTACAACCCTAGATATGGCAAACCCTAATCATGCAAGGAAGTAGAAATGTAACACCTAGACAAACCTAAACAACACATATAAAATATATGTTGACACACCCCCATAGTCTAGGTGACGGTAAGCCCGTAGAAAAAACAACACATATCTCAAGGTGGGTCTCAAGGATACACACAGTCTGAGAGCAAGCAAGGGTCACATGACCAGTCAGCAAGAACAAGCAAGGGTCAGAAGACCAGTCCACAAGAACAAGACAAATCTCAGGGTGGAGCTCAAAGTCACCACACAGTCCGAGAGCAAGCAAAAGAGCCACAAGGCCAATTCACATGCAGGTATATAGCAAATATAATGAGATGCAAGAGTACAAGACAATAAGGACAAAGCATCTACGTAAGCAAGTGAGGACGAGCCCGCACAAGGCCAAGCTGGGTGCAGAAACGCTGGTGATCACAAGGCGGCAATGCCTTCGTGAAGATATCTGCAGTGTTGGCCTCAGAGACCACACGTCGTACGAGTGCCTGGCCACGCTGCTGCAACTCACGCAGAAGGAAGTAACGAAGCTGGATGTGCTTCGCCTTCCCAACCAGTCGGGGCTCCTCACACAACAGGACGGCAGACCTGTTGTCGGCGAACAAGACTGGGGGAGAGCGAGGCCGCTCACCAAGGTCGGTGAGAAGGAAAGACAGCCAGCGAAGCTCCTGAGCGGCCATGGCCGCAGCGTACACCTCTGCCTCACAGCTGGAACCGGCGACGGACGACGCCCGAGTCGACCGCCACGAAACAGCACCTGCCCCGAGGCTAAAGGAGTACCCCTGTGTAGACCGACGCGTCTCCGCGTCGTCGGCCCACGACGAGTCCGAGTAACCTGTGAGTGTAACTGGCTGCTTCCCTCCAAGGACAAGTCCCATGCCTGATGTACTCGCCACATACTTTGCCACCCTCTTAGCAGCGTACCAGTGGGAAGGTCGGTGTCTCCCAGGCGCAACAAAGCGCGCAAGGACACTAAGAGGGTAAGCTAGGTCTGGGCGAGTACATGTCATCAGGTACATGAGACAACCCACCAGCTCAGGATATGGACCAGTGGACTCAAATGACTCGTCCGAAGGTGGAGCCGTGAGCCCACGATCCACACCAAGAGGGGAGAGCTGTACCTTGGAGAACGGGAAGCGAAACCGCGTGAGGATCTGCTCGACCATATGCGACTGGGTCAGCGTAATGGTGCGAGCTGCCCTGTCCCTGGTGATCTGCAGGCCAAGGTAGTGCTGCAGCTCACCAAGGTCAGTGCAAGTGTGTCTCCTCTGCGGTTCCTCCTTCACGGAGGCCAGCGCGCGTCGGTCGGGAGTGGCGAACACCAGGTCGTCAACGTAGACCAGGACAAAGAACGGGGTCGAGCCATGGCGAACGAACAGGGACGGGTCAGCAGACGACGGAAAGAAGTCAAGCGCTGCAAGGGTCAAGCGAAGTGTGTCGTGCCACTCACGTGGAGCGTGACGCAGGCCGTAGACTGGTCGACGCAGCTGCCACTGGGTCCCAGGTGGGAAAGAGCCAGTAAAGCCAGGCGGGCGACGCAGCCATATCTGCTCGTGCAGGCTCCCCTGAAGGAACGCGGTGGAAAAGTCCAAGGAGTGCAACTCGTAGTCGCGCTGGGCTGCAATATGCAGCAACACCCGAAGAGTACTCATCTTCGGGGTGGGAGCGAAGGTCTGGAAGAAGTCCACCCCCTCTCGCTGACTGAAGCCTCTCGCCACATAGCGCGCCTTGAACACAGGTGGTGATCCAGGCGGCCGCTTCACCTTGTAGAGCCATCGGCCACTTACGACGTTCGTCCCAGGTGGTGGGACTACGTCGACGTAAGTGCCTGTGGACCTATAAGATGCCATCTCTGCCTCCTCAGCTGCTATCCAGTACGAAGCCCAGGGTCCCGAGACCGCCTCGGCGTGAGTGCGAGGGATCGGGATGTCAAG